AAGGTGGTTGATAGTGTTGTTCAAGTCTTTTATATCTTTGTTGATTTTTAGGTCTGCTTGTCCTATTAATCACTGACAGGAATAATGAAATCTCTGACTGTAATTGTAAATTTGTCTATTTCTCCTTGTAGCTCTATCAGTCTTCACGTATTTCAAAACTCTGCCATTGAGTACGTAAACATTTAAAATTGCTATGTTGTCTTGATGAATTGACATCTTTATTGTGATGAAATGACCTTCCTTATCCCTGGTGATATTCTTTGCTCTGAAATGTTTCTTTTTTACAAACTCACTGTCTGTTTCTCTCAGAAATATAAGTACCATGAGGCTAGGGACTATACCTTATTCTGTATCCTTAGCACCTTGCTACATAGCTGGCATTTGGTTCATACTTAATAAATTTTATTAAAGGGAAGAGAGAAAGGAGGGAGAGATTGGAATACACATGCAGATATAGAGCTACACACTAGTATTAAAAAATAAGTGAAGAAAAGGTGCCAGTACTTGTTCTGAGGAGCATGTATTATAATGGGCAAAACGTGTACAGAGGCAATTTCAAGAGTGTGATAGGAGCCATGAAAAGGATAAGCACAAGATACTTTGCAAAATACAGGAGGAACACTGAACCTAGTCTAAGAACCTAAGCTAACATCAGAACAAAGAAACAACCACAAAAAGAGGTAAGAATGGCCCTCCATAAGGAGACAACGGCATGAACAAAGACACAGGTAATAGAGAATATGTTGCTGGAGCATAATTAAAGTATGTCAAGACTCTCCCAGGGGATTCCTATTCTGTCCTATTCTGCCCTGCCCTGGCCAGTTTGGCTCAGCGGTTGGAGCGTCGGCCTGCGGTCCGGAGAGACCCGGGTTCGGTTCCCGCTAAGGGCGCGTACTTCGGTTGCGGTTTGTCCCTGGCCCAGGTTGGTCGTGCGGGTGGCAGCCACTCGATGTGTCCCTTTCACGTCGATGTTTCTCTCTCTCTCCCTTCCTCTCTCTCCCTCCCACTCTATCTGTACAAAAAAATGGAAAAATATCCTCGGGTGAGGATAAAAAAAAAAAAAACACACTGCCCAAGGCCTACAGCACATTGAATGCTCATGGTTAATGGACTCCCCTTTGGTATGCCCATATAACCTGTTCCCAATAACTGAATCTCTTAAATTATTCCTAACTGGCCAGCTGGTATGGCTCAGTGCTTGAGCATCGACCCATGCACCAAGAGTCGCAGGTTCGATTCCGATCAGGGAACATGTCCGGGTTGTAGACTACATCCACAGTGGGGGCATGCAGGGGGTGGCCAATCGATGTTCTCTCTCATTGATGTTTCTATCTCTCTCTCCCTCTCCCGTCCTCTCTCTAAAATCCATAAAGAAAAAAATATTAAAAAAAAATTATTCCTAACCTATTTCTGCTAGTAGTTCTTGTTATTGTGGTTTGATTAGTAATACAAAGATAATGAAATATGAATGCAAAAGACAGTTATCACCATGAAAACCTAGTTGAATGCTTTAGAAACACTAGATAAAAGAAAAAAATTCTCAAAGTAGGCATGAGGGTGACACCTATAAAAATTGGGGATTAGCCTGGCAAGTGTGGCTTAGTGGATTGAGCATCCTCCCATGAACTGAGAGGTCCTGGTTCAATTCCCAGTCAGGGCACATGCCCAGATGGTGGGCTCAATCCCCAGTAGAACGTATGCAAGAGGTAGCCAATCAATATTTCTCTCTCACATCGATGCTTCTATCTCTCTCACCCTTCCTCTCTCTCTAAAAATTCAATAAAAACATATTTTTTTAAAAATTGGGGGTTAGCTCTGACTGGTTTGGCTCAGCGGTTACAGCATAAGCCTGTGGACCGAAGGGTACAGGGTTCAATTCCCAGTCAAGGGCAAATGCCGGGGTTGCAGGTTCGATCCCTGGCCCCAGTCAGGGTTGTATGGGAGGCAACAAAACAATGTGTCTCTCACATCAATGTTCCTCTCTCTTTCTCTCTCCCTCTCTCCCCCCCTTCTACTCTATGTAAAAATCAATAGAAAAATATCCTTGGGTGAGGATTAACAACAACAACAAAATTGAGAATTAAATGGTCAAATTAGAAAATTTCTACTTTAGCCCTGGCCAGTTTGGCTCAGCGGTTAGAGCATCCGCCTGCGGTCCAGAGAGACCCGAGTTCGGTTCCCGCTAAGGGCACGTACCTCGGTTGCAGTTTGTCCCCGGCCCTGGTTGGTCGTGCGGGTGGCAGCCACTCGATGTGTCCCTTTCACATCAATATTTCCCTCTCTCTCTCTTCCCCTCTCTCCCTCCCACTCTGTCTGTACATAAAATGGAAAAATGTCCTCGGGTGAGGATAAAAAAAAAAAAAAAAAAAGAAAGAAAATTTCTACTTTAAAATGATATGGTCAACAAGAATAGGAAGGGAAGAGTGGAAAGAAATGTGACTGATGTGGTAAGTAGGGCCCACAGGGCATTATGTGCAAAGGGTATTTGGGTTTCATCCTAAACTCAGTGGTAAGCACTCAAAAGTACTAAGCAGGCCCTGGCCGGTTTGGCTCAGCAGTTAGAGCGTCGGCCCGTGGTCCAGAGAGACCCGGTTCAGTTCCCACTGGGGGCACATACCGCAGTTACAGTTTGTCCCTGGCCCCAGTTGGGGTTGTGTGGGTGGCAGCCAGTTGGTGTGTGTGTGTGTGTCTCTCTCTCTCTCTGAATGCAACAGGTGTCCTCAGGTGAGGATTAAAAAAGAAAAAAAGGACTAAGCAGGACAGAGACAAAATTAAATTCGCATTTCACAAAGATGGCTCTGACTGCAGAATAAAAAAGCAAGATGATGCAAAGACTTGTCAGGAAGCTGTTGCAGGAACCCAAGCGAGAATTAATGGTAAGCTAAAAGTGATTTTACTATTCTTAAGAACTAATTTTATGGGTTAAATAGGCTTTTGTGGGCTTTCGAAGAAACCAACATTGCTATCAAAATTTTCATGGGGAAGCATGTTCCAAAGAACCAATTAATTATGTGCTAATTAGCATACAACCTATTCATACACTGGGAACTGTTTACAATTCTCTTGCCATTAAAAATGGTAAATTCTCTTCTTTCCCTGAGGAGACACCAAATAGCAGATGACACCGGTGCTGCGGGAGGGCCTGAAGGCCCCGGGTGCCCTGGAATGGGAGGTTGCAGAGGCTTCCGTGGAGGATTTGGCAGGGCATCTGGGGCCGAGGTCTCGACCAGGGTTGGGGCTGGGGCTGTGGCCGCAGAGCTTGCGGAGACAAGGTGGAGGACAAGGAGTGGATCCCCATCACCAAGCTGGGCCACCTGGTCAAGGACATGAAGATCAAGTCCCTGGAAGAGATCTATCTTTTCTCCTTGCCAATCAAGGAATCTGAGATCATTGACTTTTTCTTGGGTGCATCCCTCAAGGAAGATGTTTTGAAGATTATGCCTGTGCAAAAGCAGACATGCGCTGGCCAGAGGACCCAGTTCAAGGCATTTGTCACCACTGGGGACTACAATGAACATGAACATGTTGGTCTGGGTGTTAAGTTCGCGAAGGAAGTAGCCACTGCTATCCGTGGGGTCATCATCCTAGCCAAACTGTCTATTGTCCCCGTGCGACAAGGCTACTGGGGGAACTAGATTTGCAAGCCCCATACTGTCCCTTGCAAGGTGAGTAGCCACTGTGGCTCTGTACTGGTGTGCCTCATCCCCGCCCCCAGGGGCAATGGCATAGTCTCAGTCCCTATACCCAAGAAGTTGCTGATGATAGCTGGTATTGATGACTGCTACACCTCAGTCAGGGCTGCACTGCCACCCTGGGCAACTTTGCCAAGGCCACCTTTGATGCCATCTCTAAGACCTACAGTTATCTCACCCCCAATCTCTGGAAAGAGACTGTGTTTCACCAAGTCTCCCTATCAGGAATTCACTGACCAGCCTGTAAAGATCCACATCAGAGTTTCTGTGTAGAGGCCCCAGGCTCCAGCTGTGGCCACCATATAATTTTATATAAAAAAAATAAAGTGAACAAAGCCTGTTAATAAAATTAAAAAAAAAAAACATGGTAAGTTTTGCCCGGCCAGTTTGGCTCAGCGGTTAGAGTGTCAGCTCATGGACCAATCTGTCATGGGTTCGATTCTGGTCAAGTGCACGTATCTTGGTTGCAATTTGTCCACGGCCCTGGTTGGAGTCCTGCAGGAGGCAGCGACTCGATATGTCCCCTTTCACACTGATGTTTTTTTTCTCTCTCTCCTCTCTCTCCCTCCCACTCTAAACAGAAAAATGGAAAAATGTCCTTGGTTGAGGATTAAAAAAGAAAATGGTAAGTTCTGCCTGGCCAGGGTGGCTCAGTGGTTGAGCATTGACCCATGCACCAAGAGGTCACCAGTTCGATTCCCAGTCAGGGCACACACCCAGGTTGTGGGCCAAATCCCTAGTGGCGGGGCATGCAGGAGGCGGCCATCGATACTCTTTCTCATTGATGTTTCTATCTCTCTCTCCCTCTCTCTTCCTCTCTCTCTAAAATCAATAAAGAAAAAAAATTATTTTTTTAAATGGTAAGTTCTACAGAAGTCTTCATTTGCCTCCCCAAAGTATAATCTTTTTTTGTTAACAATTTTTTAATTGATTTTTAGAGAGAGAGAAAAACATCGACGTGAGAGTGAAACTTCAATAGGCCACCTCCTGCACACTCCCTACAGGGGATCAAATCCAAACCCCGGGCAGGTGCCCTGACTGGGAATCAAGCCAGCAACCTTTTAGTGCACAGGACGTCACCTAACCAACTGAGCCATACTGGTCAGGGCCAAAGTACAATCTTAATCTGGATCATTTTCACTGCAATCGTGAAACCCTCTTATGTGAAGGATATATAAAAAAGGACTATTTCTAAATATAATTTTCAAAAATAGATCTTTTTAAATGTTTGTACTACTAGAGGTTAGGCTTTGGTATCTGTGACTATAAATTACTCTAGTGCCCAGAAAAAAAAACAAGAACACTTACTTCATGAAATACTGCTCCTGAATATGGAGACACTCCCAAGTCCAACAGTGAGAGGCCTTCAACCACTGAAAAGTAAGATATCCAAGTTAATTTTTACTTCAAAGACATATGCAGCTGGCCATAAACCAGTGTTAGATACTCCCAGGAGAAAGAAGGGCCTTATAGTTTATCCAACTCCCTTTACCTCATTCCCAGAAAGTGGGTTTAAATCTAGACTTGAACATTTCTGATAATGGAGAGCTTTCATCCATCAAATATCCCTTTCCCTTGCAGCAAACCACTCATTATGGGAATGTTTTATATTAAACTATAAGTTTCCTTTGATCTCCTTGTAACTTCCACCTAAAGTGTTCATTTATGTATATCCTACACCCTCCTAAAACACAGTAAGATAACATATTAAAAGGTGGTAAGGCCCTAGCCAGTTTGGCTCAGCGGGTAGAGCGTCAGCCTGCAGTCCAGAGAGACCGGGTTCAGTTCCCACTAAGGGGATGTACCTCGGTTGCAGTTTGTCCCGGCCCTGGTTGAGTCATGCGGGTGGCAGCCACTAGATGTGTCCCTTTCACGTTGATGTTTCTCTCTCTCTTCCTCTCTCTCCCTCCCATTCTATCTGAACAAAAAATGGAAAAATGTCCTCGGGTAAGGATAAAAAAAAAAGGTGGTAAGAAATGTTGTTCATAGGTGGGGAAATGAGCAAGCACTCTCATATGTGTTTTGTAGAGTGACATTTATATTAACTTTTTCTTCAGGGCAATATGTACTTTTTAAGTGTATGCTTTTTGACTCAGAAAGGATTGTTCTTAGGACAATTTATCCTAGGGAAATAACTGGACAAATGCCCAAAGAAGTATGTTCATTACCATGCTCAAGGGTAGGAAAAAATAAAAAATAATCCCAATGTCCATTAATGGAGATTTATTTAAATGAATTATGATGTGTGTGTGTGTGCGCGCGCATGCACGCACGCATACATATGTACTTTACAATTAAAAATTATACAATATAGCCCTGGTCGGTTTGGCTCAGCGGTTAGAGCGTCGGCCTGCGGTCCTGAGAGACCCGGGTTCGGTTCCCGCTAAGGGCACGTACCTTGGTTGCAGTTTGTCCCCGGCCCTGGTCGGTTGTGCGGGTGGCAGCCACTCGATGTGTTCCTTTCACATCGATGTTTCTCTCTCTCTCTCTCTGTTCCTCTCTCTCCCTCCCACTCTACCTGAACAAAAAATGGAAAAATGTCCTCCGGTGAGGATAAAAAAAAAAAAAAAAAAATATATATATATATATATATATATATATATATATATATAAACACACACACACAATATAAATTGAATAAATAAATAAAGAGAAAAGAAAGCTCTTCCTTACAGATAATTATAAGTAATAAATGTAGGAGGAAAGATAGAAAGATAGAAAATCACAATTTGGCAGACCCCACAGTAATAATTGTAAAAGGCAAGTATCACCAATGGATACTAAAATTAGTGGGTAAACCCGGCTGGTGTGGCTCAGTGGATTGAGTGTCATCCCATGACTGAAAGGTCCTGGTTCAATTCCCGGTCAGGGCACTCGCCAGTTGCAGGCTCAATCCCCAGTAGGGGCATATAGGAGGCAGCCGATCAATGTTTCTCTCTAAAAAATCAATAAAAACATTGCCCAGACAGTGTGGCTAAGTGGTTGAGCATTGACAGATGCACCAAGAGGTCACCAGTTAGATTCTCAGTCAGGGCACATACCCAGGTTGTAGACAAAATCCCCAGTGGGGGGGCATGCAGAAAGCAGCCAATCGATGTTCTCTCTCATTAATGTCTCTATCTCTCTCTCCCTCTCTAAAATCAATAAAGAAAAAAATATTAAAAAATCAATAAAAACATATTTTAAAAAATAAAATTAGTGAGTAAAAATATAACGAGAAACAGAATATTTGCAAGAGGAAAAATAATTTTATGAGAACAAATCTGACATTCACTATCTTTTTTATTTATTTTTGTTACAGATGTTTCTCCTTTTTCCCCCACTGACACCCTCCTCCCAATCCCATCCCCCCCAGTATTGTTGTCTATTTCCATGGTTATGCATACATGCATATAAATTCTGTGGTTTATCTATTCCCTCCCCTAACTATAACCTATCTTCTGAGGTCTGTCTGTCTGTACCCTACTTCTATGTCTCTGGGTCTATTTTGTTCATCAGCTTGCTTTGACATTCACTATCTTAATCCAGTGACTGAAGTTTATATTATTAGTAATACAGGGTGGAGCAAAAGTAGTTTTACAGTTGTTCATATAAAAAGTAATACAATAAATAATGAATAATAATATAAGAATAAACTCCATGTTTCATGTATTCACAACTGTAAACCTACTTTTGCCCACCCTGCATTTTTGCCAGTTAATATTATCAACATCAAATACCTCCTGATGTGATTCACTGAGATGGGCATAAAACACTTCTGTGGTCCTTAGGCCAAAAATGTGGTATCCTTGCTAAACACACACAATTTCAATCTAATCATGAGAAAACATTAGGCAAACCCAAATTGAGAGACAAAATAACTGGCTAGTACTCATTAAAAATGTTAAGTCTGAAGAAGTATCCCAGGTTGGAAGAGACTAAGGATACATAACAACTAAATACAATATGGGACCATGGATTGGATCTTAGATGAGAAAAAGGACATTAGTGAAACAATTGTTAAAATCCTAATAAGATCTGCAGATTAGTTAATAGTATTGCATCAATGTTAATTTTCTGGTTTAGGTTACTGTACTATGGTTATGTTATGTAGGATGTTATCTTACATCTAGAAGAGGCTGGATGAAGGATAAACAGAAACTTGATGCATAGTATTACAACTTTTTTTAAAATCTAAAGTTATTTCAAAGTTAAGAGTTAAAATAAAAAAGTGTACTACAGGCCTGGAGGGTGTGGTTCACTGGTTGAGCATTGACCCATGCACCAAGAAGTCGTCGGTTCAATTCCCAGTCAGGGCACATGCCCAGGTTGTGGGCCTGATCCCCAGTTGGGGACATGCAGGAGGCAGACAATTGATGTTCTCTCTCATCGATGTTTCTATCTTTCTTTCCCTCTTCCTTCCTCTCTTTCTAAAATCAAAAAAATATATATATATTTTTTATTTTATTTTATTTTTTTTATCCTCACCTGAGGACATTTTTCTATTTTTTGTTCAGGTAGAGTGGGAGGGGGAGAGAGGAAGAGAGAGAGAAACATCAATGTGAAAGAGACACATCGAGTGGCTGCCACCCGCACGACCAACCAGGGCCGGGGACAAATTGCAACCGAGGTATATGCCCTTAGCGGGAACCGAACCCGGGTCTCTCAGGACCGCAGGTCGACGCTCTAACCGCTGAGCCAAACCGGCCAGGGCTATATATTATATTTTAAAAGTGTACTATAGATATACTTTTACTAAAGGAAAGACATCCATAAAATACTCTTAAAGAAAATCAAGGTTATAATAGAGCATATAAAATATAATTTTATTTTAAATATTTATAAACATTCACTCATTTAATTATTTGAGAATACATATGTATTTGATAATAAATGCTTCAAAATAAATATAAAACATAAACATTAAATAAAATTAAAATAAACAAAAAATGTTAACAGTGACCTCTGAATAAGATTACAGAAGATGTTCCGTTTCTTTTATTTTTTTTTCTTCACTTTCTGAACCTTTACAATGAGCATGTATTATTTTATAATTATTAAAAAGAAACCAGGCCCAGCTGGTGTGACTCAGTGGTTGAGCATCAACCTATGCACCAAGATGTCACCGGTTCAATTCTCAGTCAGAGCACATGCCCAGGTTATGGGCTAAATCCCCAGTGGGGGTCATGCAGGAGACAGCTGGTCAATGTTCTCTCTCATCGATGCTTCTGTCTCTCTCTCCCTCTTGTTTCCTCTCTCTCGAAAACCAATAAGAAAAATAAAATAAAATAAAACCTCATAGACACAGACAACAGTATGGTGATTACCAGAGGAAAAAAAGGGTTAGGGGAAGTAGAATAGGGCATAGGGGAATAAACGGTGATGGAAGGAGACTCGACTTGGAGTGGTAAACATACAATATATAGAAGATGTATTATAGATTTGTACAACTGAACCTTATATAATTTTATTAACCAATATCACCCCAATAAATTCAATGAAAAAGAAAAGGAAACAGAAAAAATAATTTTAAAAGAAGTGAGTTAGGAAGGATAAGAAAAAACATAAAATGGTCCGGCCGGTGTGGCTCACTGGTTGAGCGTCAACCCATGCACCAAGAGGTTGCCAGTTAGATTACTGGTCAAAATACATGCCCAGGTTGTGGGCCCGATCCCCAGTGGGGGGCAGGCAGGAAGCGACCAATCGATGTTCTCTCTCATCGATGTTTCTCTCTCTCTCTCCCTCTCACTTTCTCTCTCTCTAAAATCAATAAAGAAAAACGAATTAAAAAAAAAAAAAACAGACTTCCGGTCAAGATGGCAGTGTAGGTAAATGCAGTATGTCTTCCCACAACCACATCAAAGTTACAACTAAACTACAGAACAACCATCATTCAAAACCACCTGAAATCAAGCTGAATGGAAATTCTACAAAGACGGAATTAAAGAAGCAGCCACATCAGGACAGGTAGGAAGAGAGGAGGCTGATGGGCGGTCACACACACACACACACACACACACACACACACACACACGGCGGAAAAAAATTTAGAAGTATACCTCAGCTGGGAAGGTCCTCCCTGAGGACTGTGGGGTCCCCGTCCCACACCAGGCACCCAGCTCAGGGTTCCAATACCAGGAGAGAATCCTCATAACTTCTGGCTATAAAACCAGCGGGAACTGAGGCTCAGGGAGGCTGAGGCAGCTGGAGCCCCAGGCAGCTCCTCTTAAAGGGCCCACGCATGGAGTTACTCGGACTTGCTCCCTCTAAGCTCAGACAGGAAGCAGCTTGAGGGGCGCCAGAGACATACAGGGAAGAACTGAGCTGTTTGGCATTGGAGCGAGGGCTGGAGAGTCAGCTTTCTCCTGGACAGACGTGCTCTCAGAGGCCTTTG